AAAACCATACCTTTACACTGTGCCTTTTTCAAGAAGACTTGTGCCATGCCTGCCTCTTTCCCTATCTCCCTTCTTCTGCTTCCTCCTTCCCATTCTCTTTTCTGTCATCTTTCTTTGTGTGTCTCCTGAAAACCACTTGAAATTTTCCTTTGTGCCTTGAGTCTAACCTTTAAAGCAGAGTTAAGGATAGGAACTGGATGCACTGTGCTCCATGAACAGCACAAAAATCACTGCAATAGCAGTTCCATCTGTGGCTTCACATACTCTAGTGCTTCTAAATCTCTGTGGCCACCTGCACAAACACATTAAGGTCCACACTCGACATCTTCATCATCCCTTAGGGCATGTGCTGGGCTGAAAGGTAGCCCCCCAGGAGATAGTCCACTTGCAACCTGTAAATATGACCTTATACATACAAGACTTCTTAGAGATGCAATTAAGATCTCAAAATGGAATCCTCCTGTCTTATCCAAGAACACCTACATTTAAAGGCAAGTGTCTTCTACAAGACACAGGCAGATGATGACGTGTCACAGAGGTGTTGAGTTGAAGATGGAGTGATTGGACTGATGCATCCCCAAGCCAAGAACATCACAGACTGCTGCTTGACACAGGAAGCTATACAGGAGAGGGCGGGAAGCCCTCTCCGCCAGAGTCATGCTGGTGCCTTGGTTTTGCACTTCTGAACTGCAAAACTGAGACAGAGTACAATCCTGCTCTCCTAAGCTGCTGAGTCTATAATACTCTGGCTTAGCAGTCCTAGACATTAATACAAAGGGACCAGGAGGGATTCATCTTATCTATTGATAAGAACATTGATCAGTCTGGAGCTTGACTATGAAAGTATAGAGAAACGTCCCCAACACAGGCAGGGCTGATTCACCTTGTGGCTCCTAGAAGTGACTGCTATCAAAGTGGGGCCTTCTGCAAAGGGAAGCCTAACTGGTGCTTAAAAGTATCAGCCTTTGGACTCTGGATTGACACATAATACTAACCAAATGTTAGTTAATCTTTGGCTGTAGTTTTGTGGCCATTACATTTGCCACATGTGCCTGCTGATTCCTGCACGATGCCCATCTCTGTTGACTAAACCTCTTCTGTGTCTGGAAACCACTACGCTAGTTAGCTTAGCTGACCATCAGGTTCCAATCCCTCAGCAGCAAGATCCTTGTGTTGCTGATCTTACTTTGCTGAGAGAGAGGCCATGACGTGGTTTCAGGAAGCGCCCATCGACTATCCCAGGCTGATTCCATTGGTCTAGAAGGAGTCTCTCTGAAGGGGATGTGTGAGGGAAGGCTTCAACAGACACTTGGAGTGCACTGCAGCTCCTCATATTTTATATATTTACATTTCCCCTTATAGCGCATACCTTTGATTTCCTATGTCTAAAAATGTCTCTTACCTTGAGATTATAAATTCACCCATATCTTTTTTATAATTTGACTTTCCACAAGAACTTTCTAATTTGAATTTGAGTGGCATGTTTCTTTTCCCAAAGTAACTATTTTTCCTCTTAAATTTGAATACTGATACTATTAACAATAATAGCATTGCCTGAGTACTTTTTATGTGCTGGCATTTGTGTTTTTTATATACTGGCAGATCGTGTTAGCTTGGTAACTTATTATCTACATATTACAGCCATGAAACAGCATACTTAAAATAAAAAAGCATACTTGGTATCCACAATTGGGCCATCTAACTCTTGGGCTTATATTTTTAACTAATATGCTGTTCTTATAGAAAATTTGGGCCTATTTTGGCTTAAACAATAAAATTATTGACATAACTGAAGTTCAGATGTAGGATGGCTTCCTAGTTGACTTGGCATTCTGTCTGTTTCCTCATGATTCTATCACCCTTGTTCTCTTCCATATGCAGCTTCATCCTCAAGCTGACAGAGAGAGCTGTAATAATGCCAGCTCCCATAGCCATGCACCGAAATGTCCATCAAAAAGAAAGAGGACATCACTCTAAGAGACTCATCCAGGAAAACAAAGAACTTTCTAAGGAGCCAACACATGCATCTCAAGTCTCATTGGTCCAAAATGGGCCACCTGCTGACTTCTATATCAAATATGAGTAAGAAGAATAGAATTAAATAGATTGTGTCTGTTCACTGCCAGAATTAGGGATGATATCAGCTTTCTTTTGACACATACATTGGGTGCACAAAATTTAACAGGACTATTAGTAAAAATTAATTTAAGTTTTCAGATGCAGAAGACCTAATGACAGTGGGTTAAGCAAATTAAAATGTAAATCAACCCTGAAGGTAGGCAGTAGAAGGCTAATACGGCAATCCAGTCTCCATTTTCTATCTCAATTCTCTGCCATTACCAATACATGACTCCTACTTTGTAATCCAAATAATTCCAGAGCCACATCCATCACAACTACCTTCAGGCACTAAGAAGAAAGAAGGAGTAATTCCCTTTAAGGAAACCCCCTTAAGCTACATGAAACACTTCTACCTGCATCCCATTAGACACAACATAGTCATCTGGCAACTTCTGGCTGAAGGAATCTCTGAAATCTAGATTTTATTCTAGATAACTTTGAAACAAGCAATAAATCAGAGATTCTGCTTCTAAAAAATAAGAGCAGAAGATTTATCAGTACACTTCAAAAGTTTATGTTGGTGTAAGAAAATTTTTAAATATGCATTTTTCAGGAATGCTTTAAAGAAACTTTATATTGACGAGCATTAACAATCTTCAAATAGATAAAAATGTAAGTTGAACTAGGGTTTTGTTAAATAATAAGCAAAGCAAATAAAATACTGGGTAAGCAATCAACAGTGTGTCCTGAGCCCCGTGCCCTGCTTGGGTCATTGTCCCAGCCCTAAGGTACTGATAAAATATATTATGGGGCCCTGTGCCATGGCTCAATGGCTAAATCCTTGCCTTGCAAGTGCCAGGATCCCATATGGACTCGAGTTTGTGTCCCAGCTGTTCCAATTCCCATTCAGCTCCCTGCTTGTGACCTGGGAAAGCAGTAGAGGACAGCCCAAAGACTTTGCACCCTGTACCCATGTGGGAGACAAAAAGGAAGCTTCCAGCTCCTGGCTTTGGATTGGATTGGCTCACCTCTGGCCATTGCAGTCATTTGTGGAATGAACAAGCAGATAAAGATCTTTTTCTCTGTCTCTCCTTCTCTCTGTAAATCTAATCTGTTTTTCTTGTCAAGATAATAAATAAATCTTTAAATCCTATTTAAATAATAAATCTTTAAAAAATAAAAAACAATTTAAAAAAAATGTAAAGATATCCCTGATCATCTACGTTACATGTGAAATTCATTTAGGAAGAAAGGGAAAAGCCAAAATATAAAAGCTGCATACCACCTAGATCCACCCAACTTATTCATAAATCCATGTCTTTCCTGGAAATTTCCTGTGTTAGATTTGTTATCCACCAGAACTCTGTCACAAGGCCACTAGAGCAAGGGGCTCTTGCAGAGATGAGAATTTTTACCTGTCCTATACAAAAACATACTCTATTATAAATAAGGGAGAAATAATTATTAGGTAAACAATACTGTCATAATTTTCCATTTAGAGTTTTCTTTGATAGATGATATAAAACAAGAAGCTAACTTAATCCTTTACAATTAGTCAATCAACTTTCCTAGAAGCTTTATGGAATAGAAAAAGTCATTCTTTGTCCATTGATTTGACACACAACTATATTACACTTAGAACCACAAAGGTGCCAATCCAGTGACAGCAGAATGGTATCTTGAAAGACAACAACTGTAAGCTTCTGACAAAATGTAGGAAACAATCATTGAAAGAAGTGGAGAATACCAAGACAGAGACTGGGGGGTTGTCAATACATGGAAGAGGATGAAACCAAACAATGTTATAGTCGTATGCCTAAGGACAGCCCTACTCAGTGCTCAATCTGGAATAAAAATCTGCCATCTTACTAGCTTGAAGATCTAGAAGGAAAGGGACAGGGATACGATATAGGTGGAAAGTAAAAGGATGGGAGAAAGTTGCTGGAAAGGAGAGAGCCACAGTGGGGGAGCTCAAAATTCCATATATAATTTCCACCCAAATCTTAGGTTGTCCCTTGAGCTATGTATGGGCAGTGCAGATATTAAGCAGTCAAATTGGGATTCAAATAATTGAACAGATATTTCAGCTGACAACTATTAACAGCAAACACAGAATTTTGCCCAAGTTAATTGCCCACTATAAAAAAAAAAGCAATATTCTTTAGAGGAGTAAGATGGAAGCTACATAGTCTATTAGCATTCACAATGTGCAGGATACAATGTAAAATTACTATACACACCGGAAAAAGGGATGCAGTACATACCCAAGATGAAATGCAATCAATACAGGTCAATGCTGAAACAAGCCAGATTCTACAATAGGCAGACAAGGTTTTGTAAGTAGTTTTTATAACGAGGGTTACAAATATTGTAGTCTTGGTCTACTTTGACATCCTTTTCTTGAGAAGGACATGAAGAATAGGTTATCCTTTAAGAAAAATGCCCACATAGCCTCAAAAATATTGCAGTGGAAATTAATCAAGCTGATAAACATTGAAAAAGGTAGTGATGGGGTGGGTAGAGATTTTGGATACAAAAATTCCAAAGATGAGACAGTTCTATTGCCTTTGTGAATAAGCTAAGCATACCCTCTCCATGACTGAGGTAAAGACTGAGTGGGCAAAGAGCTCTCATCAAACCCTTGAAGTATTGGCTCTCTTGGGTCAGACATAGAAGAGCCTGAAGCTGTGGATTACATGGTTCAGCTTTCCAGTTTATTCACCATGCTTACTAAAAACCCAGCTAATGCCCCTTCAATGAAGGTTGGCCTGAAGCCCACCCACACCACATGCCTTTGATGTTGTCATAAATTTCCTTCTAGAAATTCAACACAGACGGATACACAAATTCCAAGGGCAAGAGGACCCTAGGTTGCAAAGTCAGCTACAGACTGAAAGCTGAAGTGGATCACCTTGGTAACTTATTTCCTTACTATTTAGGGAAAATGGGTCATCCCATGGTTGCTCCCTATTCTGCAAGCAAGTTTGCTCTGGATGGATTTTTCTCTGCTATCAGGAAAGAACATTCAATAGCCAAGGTCAATGTGTCAGTCACTCTCTGTGTCCTTGGCCTCATAAACACAGGTAAGGTTAGCCATTGGAAATAAATGGCCTAGGGATGGACTATCTGCCTTAGCATCGTGGGTACAGAGGGGTGCCGGGTTCCTTGAATCAGGCAGAATGCAGAGAATCAGGATGAGCCTGTCATTCAATGAAGCTGTTCTGTCACCACTGTTAGACTCTGCTTTCCAGTTCTCACCACCAGGTATGCTCAGTGACACTGCATACATCGCCTGAGCCTTTTCTGAGCACCTATGGCCTCATGGATAATTCATGGCCATTATTTTCCTATATGAACCTTGACAAATACATATTGATGTTTCTTAAGGACATCACCAGTAATAAGACATACTGAGGAGCATGAACCCTTTGATGTAATACACTGAGAAGACCACAACATGATTTTTTTTGTGATAGTCTTGCTGAGAATACATAGCCTTAGCCCAATCACAAGAGGGCAGGGATAAACTCAAAACTGATGAACATTCTACAAAAAAAGAAAAGCTAATTACCACTCTACTAAAGTATCAAGACCATGAGGAAAAAAAAAAAAAAAGAAAACAACCGTACAAATTGGAGGAAAAATAAGAAATTAGTACTAAGTGCAATCCAGTTAAGATCCAGAGCATAAAAAAGACATGAGTGGAAAAAACAAGCTCTTTAATATTGTATCGGTTCTATTGTATCCGTTTTTATCTAATGTATAATCATTATGTATGATGTGACAATTTGGGGAAGTAGAGTTCAGTGTATATAAAGTGTACTCTGTATAATTTTCACAAATATCTGTGAAATCCACACAAAAGCTCATCCAAAACATGGAGTAGGTACCATAAGAAATTTCCTTTTAAAAAACAATTGAGAGGCAAGCATTTGGCCCACCTATTGAGGAGCCAATCAGAACACCTGCATCCCATATCAGAATTCCTTCTCCAGCTCTATACTCCAGCCCCTGCTAATGCAGACAATGGGAGGTAGAACTGACAGTTCAAGTGTTCCTGATGCCCATGGTGAGCCTGAACTGAGATCCCAGCCCCTGGCTTCAGTCCCCAGTGCTTCCAGGTATTTGGGTAGTAAACCAGTAACTGGTACGCACTCATTCTCTTCTCTCCCTCCATCCCTCTATTCCTGCCTCTCTTTCTCCCCTTAAATACATCTGTGTGTTTATATATATTTTTTTAATTTATTTTTAATTTTTATTTGAAAGGCAAATTTTACTGAGAGAGAGAGGGAGACACGAACAGAAAGGTCTTCCATCCACTGGTATACTCTGCAGATGGCCTCAACAGGCAGAGCTGTGCTGATCTAAAGCCAGGAGGCAGGAGCTTCCTCTGTGTCTCCTACATGGGTGCAGGGGACCCAAGGACTTGAACAACCTTCTCCTGCTTTCCCAGGCCACAAGCAGGGAGCTATATCATAAGTAGAGAAGCCAAGACATGAATCAGGCCCATATAGGATGCTGGTGGCATGGTGCATTAGCCTGCTATGCCACTGTGCTAGCCCCATTAAAAGCCTTGGGACCCTGCACCCATATGGGAGACAAAGCTCCTGGCTCCTGGCTTCAGATTGAGTCAGCTCTGACCATTTTGGCCATGTGCAGAATGAACCAGCAGATGGAAGATCTTTCTATCTCTCCTTCTCTGTGTAAATCTGTCTTTCCAATTTAAATAAATAAATCTTTGAAAAGAAAAAGCAATTGAGTAATCCTTACACAACAAGAGACAATAAAGTAGTCAAAGTATGGAGAGATTCTCCTCAAAAAGGCCATAAAAATGTGGAAGGAGAGAGAAGAGAATAAGAAATGTCCTTAAGTGAAAGTTCTCAAGGCTGACAAGGGAGCAAGATCCAGCATCTCCATGTCTCCCCTCCCTTTTCAAGTCAGTCCGTCAGTACCAAACCACACCCTGCTGTGCACCTTGAAGTGTCCCATCAGGTGACTGATGTCTTATTCTGCATTCCTCCCTCCCCCACCAACTTCCACTCCGACCAAAGGATCTTCCATTCATTCCTACCAGAGTATTCAAGAGAGAAGCAACTAATTTTCTACAATTGCTTCCACCAACCTCCGGACGGTAGGCTGGGCCCCTATGAACACTACAACCTGTCTTTGCTCAACAGTCTGTAAAGCTACCCAGTTTCCAAGAATTCTGTATAGGGCTTATGAAGCATACAGGGCAAGCATTGGCCAAGAGCAGCTAGTGTCGACAGACCTCCCGTCACGTTGACTCCACCAGCCTTGGATAACACCACTCTTCCCTTGTCCTTCTGCAGATACAGCCATGAAGGCAGTTTCTACTAAACTCAATCTGGAGGCCGCTCCAAAGGAGGAATGTGCCCTGGAGATCATCAAAGGAGGAGCTCTACGCCAGGATGAAATGTACTATGGCAAACCTCGGTGGACCTCTCTCCTGCTGGGAAACCCAGGGAGGCAGCTTATGGAATTCCTCCAGTCCAGGAGACTTAATATAAACAAATTGTTAGATAACTAAGAATTCCCTTAAGGTTGGGTATGCTGAGGGATCTTGGGAGTGTTTTGCCCAATATTTATCTGAACTCTATCCTTGAAGGCGTTTTCACAGAGGGATAACTAGTCTGTCTCACAGAAACATGCAAGTCATTGGTCACATCTCACGATGGAAATGATTTTCCTCTAATACTTGCACAGTGGAAATGTAATTATAATAAATGTCATGACACCTTGCAACCTGCAGGGGTGAAACTGACAGTAACCACAGGCATAATTACATGATAGTAATATTAAATTTACCTCATACATAATATGCATAGTATAATATTAATTATAATAAAGGTCATATAAACTGTATGTATTCATAACTGGCAGCTATAATTTGAGTTCATTCACTATTATCCCTTCAAAATAATAAATTACACACCTGAAATTTTTCAATGTTCATCTCTTATTTTGTAGTCTTAACAATTTTTTTCTCTTCCTGAGTTGGAGAAATCACCCTACTCTTCATTTGGTGGACAAGATGTCTTCATCATTACTGTGTATTCCAAATACTCACGTATTATTGTACATTGTTCCCATGGAAAGATACCTGGCAATGAGTCACTTGGACAAACTCAGGGAAGTGTAAGTTCTTGAGGCTTAAGTCACAAAACCTATGTCTGTTCATTACTCTCGCACTAATCACATTAACCATGAGTATTTCACATGCGAATGCTCAGCTGCCTATTGGAAGTTCAGAGAGGAAAGACTGGAATTCAAGTGCTACTACTATTCAATTGTTTCATCATTTATTCAATGGTTTTTATCAAACAATTGCTAGTCATCACCTGCCTACAACCAAAAAAGAAAGAAGACATCTTAACAATTCAGCAGGTAAGATATGGCACCCTCACAAGAAATAATTTTAATATGGTTTAATAAAAATGGAAGACCACTACTAATAGCATGAGCAGGGCATACAGAACTCACAACAGATAGTGCAGTATCTCAGGGTTAGTTGCAGCTGTTTCTGCCTCCAAGGTCCATAGGGTCTAAAGGAAAGAATGTTAAAAGAAACCATGGATTAAAAGATCCATTGGAAAGGTGGCACATGACAGAAGTTTTTAGCTTTAGTTAAGAAAAGCAACCAGCACACCAAGAGCCTTGAAGGAGCTCTGTGGAGGAAGAAACACCCCAGCCCCACTTACTCCCTTCTGCTGATCTCTGACAGGTACTTCTCATTAGAGAAACACTCAGGCAAGGGAGTGGATTGGTATAGACCATACAGGTCAGCTTCCTTGTGCACAAGCAGGTGGAAAAGCATGATATTGAGGGATAGATAGAGGATATCCAGCAAAGCCCAGTGCCCCCAAATAAAGGGCTTCCATGGCAAATGACATAGTGATGGGTGCGTATGAATGATATTTTTTTCTCTCACTTCTAAATCCAAGTGGATGGCAGAACAGACTGGAGTTGGCTAAACCTAGCAAATGTGCAGAAAAGGAACTAGTTCTGAGAGAATAAATATGGGCTTCCTGGGCTATGTTCAATGCAAGTGAGTCGGGGAGATCTAACTGCACCTACATGCAAGAAAATAAACCAAAAATCATGAAGTTTCTGTTCTAACTAGGTAGCATACTAATACCCAGGCACGAATACATGTGCAACAATAAAATGTGGTCTAATGTGTCTCAGCCTCTGACCAATCAGTTTAATTCTCTTCTGTTGCAAATGAGCTGGGCCCAACTCAACTGGCTAGTCCTCCACATCTAAGCATTGAGGTCCCATATGGGCACCAGTTCATGTCCTGGTTGCTCCACTTCCCACTCAGCTCCCTGCTTGTGGCCTGGGAAACCAGAGGAAGATGGCCTAAAGCCTTGGTTGGACTCCTGCACTCACATAGAAGACTCAGAAGAAGCTCCAGGCTCCTTGCTGCTGACTCCTGGATCCTGGCTTCAAATTGATTCAACTCAACTCCAATAGCCATTTGGTTAGTAAGCCAACAGATGGAGGAAACTTCTGTCTCTCTTTCTCTCCATAAATTTGCCTTTCCAATAAAAAAAAAATACTTTTTTAAAAAGAAATCAATCCCTTGCTCCCAACCCCCACCTTCTTCACAGTGAGGAGATGGAATTCAGTAATTTCTTCACCAAAGGGTTGAGACGATATGAAAGTCAAGTTAAAATTGGCCTGGGAAGGGATGAAAGCTCTTTCTAAATGAGACTTTCCCCAGAATCCAAAGTGAAAGATCTCGAAAAGTAGGTCTGAGAACTGAAACTGTTTACACCCACATAAATTATTATCTTCACTGACACTAACATGACATTAAAATTCCAACATCTTTATTAGCATAACTTTGCTCTTCCAGGAAACTCTGGCACTGAAAGATAAATGTTGCAGACCCATTTTATGATGCTCAATAGATAACATCAAGTGACTAGTCTGCTTTCAAACCTTATTCTAATTTCACTGTGCTCACCAACTCCAAACGAAGGCATTATATGTATCATAATCTTTCCCAATCCTAGTAAGACCATCACAATGAGGCCTCATCTTTTTTTTAATATTTCTTTTTTATTGCAAAGGCAGACTTATAAAGAGAAAGAGAGACAGAGAGAAAGATCTTCCACCACTGATTCACCCCCTTAATTATTGCAATGGCCAGTGCTGAGCTGAGCTGCAGCCAGGAGCCAGGAGATTCTTCCAGGTCACCCAAATGGATTCAGGATCCAAAAGTTTTGGGCCATCCTTCTCTGCTTTCCCAGGAAATAAGCAGGGAATCGGATGAGAAGTGGAGCAGCTGAGACACAAACAAATGGGTTTTCATTGCCATAGGGCAGAAAATTAGGGTGATACACCATCATGCTGGTGCACAATGAGACCCCATCTTAAACTGGACTCCAAACCTCTAAATATCCCAACATTGCCCTCCCCACTCTGGGAAGCTGCTGTGATTCTGTCAGAGTAATCTTCCCTCAGATCTGGGTTAGCAAGGAACTCACTTCTGCTGCCTTAGGAGGGTGTTTCAATCATCTCTGCAGGGAATCAACATTCAATGGGCTTTTTCCAAGAGGCCTGCCCAATTCCTAAGCTGACTCGCCTTTCCCATCTCTCAAGACTGCCAGGGGTCAAGCAGCACCAGCATCCAGGATACCAGTAGTACAATGGCCCTTGTCCCTTGATAAGTTCCATTTAAGAGGACCCAGCCTCCTTTGTTCCCTTGAGCAGAAATTTTAAAATATATGTTCAAGGATGTCCCTTTTCAACTGTGTGGAACCCAGAAATATAGCACTTAAATCTCATTCATGCTGGCCCACCAAACAAGTAATCCCACTCTAGCTAAAGCCATCAGTGAGCCTACCTATCAGAAAATGTACATAGGGGAAAAATTGTGAATGCAATGCAAGTCAAAAAAACCTTTATTATAAGGTAAACATCAGCAAGCATTGGCAAAATGACACAGAGAAGAAAGTACAATGAATATGCAGAAATTATTTTTCCCTTTCGTCACTCCTTAGCAGGCAGTAGGAACGTCACAGAGAGGCAGAAACGAGCTCTGTCCTATAAAATGTCTACTTCCTTCCACTCTGACATGTGACCCACACTTTTGGTCTCCCCTTCTTGTGAGTGGAACCACAACAAGGAGCTCTGTTTTCCCATATGAACTTTGTTAACTAATAATTATTCAATCCATGTCACTCAAAAACAACAACAATAATCAGTGAGTGGTACAGCGTCTCCCCAGGACTTCAGAGGGGAGAAGGAAGATGGCGTTAACACTCACCCATATGTTCATTCAACTCAAAGTCTTATTGGGCAACAGATCCTTGCAGATAGTTTCTTAAAGCAGGAGGAGTGAAAACTGGATTCGAGTGAGGAAAGAATCAGCCCTTTCTCCTAGCCCTGCTTGGGGTCTGACCCTGACTCCCTGACAATCGAGCTCAGGCTTCCTTCTTCCCCCTCACTTATTACACACGGTCAAGCCTGACTCTAGCAAGAGGCTCCCAGACAATATCTCTTTGAACAAAAACAGCCTTTTTCCCCACAAATAAATTATTGTACTAACTGATGGGAAAATACCAATTTTACCAAATATCATATTTGGGAGGTAATGTAAACCTCTCCATAGAAGGCAACAACAAAAAGAAGCTTAAACAGTCTTCATGCCTACCCATAAGACAACGCATAAATCACAAGACGTCAGTGTTATGAAATCCCCATGTCTTGATAACAAGGGCTCAAGTAGACTTATGTGTACTCACATGGAAGAAACGGCCTACACAATGAGGAGGGAAGTGTGTGTGTGTGTGCATGTGTGCAGAGAAGAGGCTAGCTGACAAAATTAGGACTTGTGATTCCTAAAATGCCACTGTTATGGACTGAATTGTGCATAGAAAGCTATACACATGTATTCATCCCCAGCATCTCAAAATGTGAGCTTATTTGGACAGAGGTCACTGCATACAATCATTCAGATGAAGAAGAGGTCATGTGGAATGAGGTTAGGAGGTATAGTCATGGTCATTCTCAGGACACAGCCATGTGGGGTGAAGAGATACAGGGAGACCACCACGTGATGGCAACGACAGATTTCAGGGATATAGCTGCAGGCCAAAGAATGCCAATGACTGAACACTCCATCAGGTTGGACGTCTGACCTGGTGGTTAAAACACCAACTGGCACTTCACTGTCCTATCCTGGAAGGTCTGGGCTCAAGTCTTGGCTGCACACATAGTTCAAGCTTGCTGCTAATGGACACCCTGGGAGGTGATGGCTCAAGTGATTACGTCCCTGACATCCACATTGGATGCTTGGTTTGAGCTCCCAGCTCCAGGTTAGGCCTGGCCCAGCCCTGGCTGTTGCAGACAAGGAGAATGAACTAGAAGGGAATCTATCTTTGTGTATCTGTCTCTTTCTTTCTCTGCCTATTTCTCAAATAAATATGAATAAATTTTAATTTAAAAAATATATGAAGCAAAAGAAAACCTCCCAGAAGGTAGGAAGACACAGGACGGTCTTTTCTCTTTCAGGCTTCACAGGGAGTGTGGCCTTGCCAACCCCTTAATTTTGGGCTTCAAGCCTCCAGGAATCTAAACCTATTGATTTCCATTGCTTTAAGTCACAATCTTTCTTAGTTTCTTGTATAGCCGTTCTAAGGAAATGTATTCAGGAAGTCATGTCATAATCTTGGGCTACCAATGAAGACAAATCCAAAAGATATGAATCCCTGGATCCAGAGTTTCACTTCTGACAATGCTGCTGCAAAACCGTGATATGATTAAAACAGAACCATGTCCCACCTCCTTCCAAACCCATCATGAGCCTATCACACTCAGTGCAAAGGCCAAAGTCCTTGCAGAAATCTGCAAATCCTATGTCCTCTGGCTCCTCGTCAGCTCTCAGAACTTGTCTCCCACGACACTGCCCTCCCCC